CCAAATCCTGTGCCCATTTAGGTTTTCCATGGAGATCCCAACATGTATCTCTCATGTGTCGTGTCTTCTGGCAGTGAGTGCACCAAAGTTTGCTCGTATCATCTGTTTTTTTCTGAGAGTCACATTTTTTAAAACCACCTCCGACATTTGTGTCTGAATTTCCCCGGACAGCTAGGGCAACTGACTCCCCTTCTACACCATTCATCGCACTTCTACTCTCTTCTGACTGCACCAAGGCATACACCTACTGAACTGATGGCAAGTCTTTACTACCCAAGATCTACACCCTGATGGACTCATATGAAGGATTCAGCCCTAAGAGGAAGGTAAAAACTCGTTGCTGAGATACAAGTGACTTATATGCCTTTGCATCTTCATCACACTTCCAATTCACATTCTGATAGTGATCAAGTTCTTTCCATATCGATGTCAAATCAGAATAGAGTTCACTCTCCCATTGATGTATCATATTTTCCCCCTAACAGTGATGTAGAGTTTTATTCCCCTAGACCACTCAAGGTAGTTCAGACCATCAAAGGGAATAACAGCCATGGGAAAACTCATATCCATTCCCCCACCCACTCCATTGTGGCTCCCTGAAATCTCTGAAGTAGCAGAATTCTCAGACGACATAGTCAAAACAGATAATCAGTCCCAAACACCGGACTTAGGACCCCTCCTTACTCCACAAAACAATGTTCCACTCAGTCCACACCCACACACTTGGCTTTAAAAAACAGGCTGAGCACAAACAGTACCAAATTCAGGACAAAACAGAGGCAATATTCGGCAGATTTCAGACCTGTACAGTTTTAACAGTCCCAACCTACCAGCCTTCCAGAATGTCTAAAGCCATTAATCAGCAGGAGAGATCCTTATCACTTATAATCAAGTCAAATTATTGAGATGACAGGTCATCCTTGACCTACAGTCGTCTTAACACATGAACAGGATCACACGATCCAAAAAGAAACAGAGGTATACAGATCCGACAGCATTCAGCAGCCCAGATTCATTTGGTTTTCACTTGGTACACGACCAAGAAGGGTAAAGAAGAGAATGGAAAAACTGTACCAGTTGTAGAGCTGTTTTCCTCAGTCCAGATTCAGATCTCTGTTCCACCCAGGTTCAGCAGGTCTGTTCGATCTGTTCTCTCAGTAAAGGTTGTTCGATCTGCTCTCTTTAGTCAGTATTCCCGCTCTGATACCATCTTGACAGTATGGCCGGCCAGAAATAATAGGAAGAGAAGAGAAGAGAAGAGAAGAAGAGAGAAGAGAGAGCAGAAGAGAAGGGATTTGCGATGTAACAGTACTGGCGGCGCCAGCCTTTATTATAATATATATGGGGCGGCAGAAATAACAAGGGAAAAGACCCTTGTGCCCCTGAGTACAATAACAGACATAACAGAAGTGAAAAAACGAAATAAAAAAACACTTTAACTAGCCAAACAGACCCTAACACCAACAACTAAATTATTTTAACATTATCAAAGTACCTACTTTAATTTTACTTCACCACAAATGATGGGAGATCTCTACCAAGGAGATTTTAACAATTCTCAACTCTAGTCTACCTTAATCCCAACTATTTGGGTTGGCTACACAAATCTTCTCACCATTGTTACTTATCAAGAACCATTTTTTCTTTCAAATTTGAAGATCATTTCTCACTATTTGAGCCCATGACTTCTTTGGTCTTACCCTTACTCTTTTACAGTCACCCATCATTGATGCAGTCATTTGTCATCTGTGCACTTGACCAAACCATCTCCGTTGACTTTCTCTCATCTTGTCACCAGTCAGGTTATTCCTATGAGAATTCTAATGTGTTTATTTCTAATTCTGTCCTTTCTATTCTTGGCATTCCATCTCAGCATCATCATCATAGATACACTCATTTTTGAACATGTTTCTTGATTGCACAACACCCTGTCCCATCTAATAATGCTGATCTTATAGTTATCTTATAAAATTATTCTTTTAGTGTTATTGGTATATCCTAGTTACACAGCAAATCAGATGCACAAGTGCACCTCTCTAGTTCTATAGGCAATCCTGTCTTTAATTTCTACTTCATTGTTGATGATTGATCCAAGGTATTGGAAATGATTAGTTTAGGGTGTCTCCTGATCATCAATCTTAATTCCACAATAGAAACCTTGTTTAGAACTTTAGATAAAGATTTTGTATCCTTGTTTTCCCCTTATTTCCTCTCATGCTCCTTATATTTCTATCTAGTTACCTGATACCCCTACCCTGCAGCTAGCCTTGTAACTTTCCTATTGACGCAGCACAACTTCTTTATCTACTTTTTGTTTCCCCTTCAAGTTCTTCCCTCCTGTCCCTTTCTGTAAGCCCTTCCAATGTAAACTCTTCCTTTACCTTGCCCCCCATCCTTGAACTCTTCCTTTACCTCCACCCCATCTAGGACTGCCCGCCCCTCTTCAATTCTATACAAGTTTCAAGTCTTTTTATATTTAGAAAAATAAAAAAAAAAAGTCATGAATGAATAGTGAAGAAACTTAGACCTGTGGTCTAAGAAGACAAGAAGAAGAAAGTTTGGAAAGAAAAAAGGGGCTAAGGTCATATGGTTCACCATATTCTCCTTCCTTCATTTCAATTAAAGAACTAAAATGGTCTCAATATGATGATTGTAATTTCTGTCACTGTCCATATAGGTATAACATTTACATGGCTGTATTTGTGCACCCAATCCACAAGTTGCACCTGGAGCTCTTTTCATGATTTCCTTTGGAAAATACTAATTCATTTCAATTATATGAAATAATATGTTATTGCAATTAAATACTATACCTACAGGAGGTATTTACATAATATTCTTTAGGATATATGCATAATAGTCATCAGCTGCCTAGAACTAATGTAATTTGAAGGGATCATGGCTAAGCAAATCTTTCTATAGGCTGTAGCAATTGCTTGGGTGATGATTTAACTGCATTGTGCTGTTTGTGAGCATCCTTATGGATGTGAATGTTGTGTCTGCATCTATAGGGCTGCATACTGGTTTTTAAATTACTACTGTTTCTAGATATTCTTTTCAAGATCTTTTAGTGGACAACAATCATATAATATATCCCATTTTCCAAATAATATTTTGTCCAGTATGGTTGTCATTTGATTAATATTTATCTGTCTTTTCTTTTCTTTTTCTTCAATTCGCTTACTGACCTGAAGTTCTGAACTTTGTTATCAGTTGTGTTTCGATCAGCTGTTTTTAATTATTATGTTGCATTTTTGAGAAAAAAATTATATTATGGCCTTTGCCTATTTTGTTTGAACTGGAAAAACAACAAAGAATCTTTTGGTTTGTAGTCTTCTTTGGAAATTGAACTTCTGTTATTTGATTGTAGGCAGGAATTTTAGGAAACATGCAAAATCTATACGAAACTGTTAAGAAGGCTCAGATGGTCGTACAAGTTGAAGCAGTGCGTGTACAAAAAGAACTTTCTGCGTATGAAACACTGTCAACCTTTTTGTTATGTGATTTTATCTTTTTCTTCTGGTGTTGTGAATGTCTTACTCTGTCTTTTATGCTTTCTACCTGTTCTGCAGAGCAGAATTTGATGGTTATTGTGAAGGTGAGCTAATAAAGGTATGGATTTTCACATTTTGTTTTAGTTGTAGGGATCAGGTCAATATTTGTGTATAATATGATCCAAGCAAAAGAATAGGAGAACCTGACATTAGATGGCATAGCCTACAGGGGCTACTGGAGGGATCCATTCTCTTTTCTCATTTTAAATGTTTCTGTGAATCCATCTTTTCCCATTATACCAAGTCAGATTATCAGATAAGAATTAGATTCTGACAACCTCATCCAAATCAGTGCAAAACCAGTCACAAATGATATAGATGCGTGGCATGTTTTGGTTATGTACCATCTACAGCATGTAACATGCGTGTCCTCGTATCCTACATGCCATGTAGCATGTTTTGTTGTGCCATACCATTTTCTTTTTTTTATATTTCATTTTTGGTTGTATTTTGTATTTTGTATTCCAGTGTTTGCAATTTATTACATATATGCTGTGTCATCTTGCATTTTGGTGTAGTTTTCTTCTGAATATTAATTTATATATTTCTATATTAATTTCTATTTTTTGTTTAACTGCAACATTTCCATGCCGGATCAAAGATCTTTGGGCATCTAATCCATTTGTAACACTAATGATGCCCTCATGTCCTGTCATTTCAAGTAGGAAAAACATGGAAATTGTAGAGCCATAATGTTTTCGAGGAAGTCATTTTTCTAACTCTCTAGATGTCATTATATGGATTTCATCCTTTCTAATAGACTTATATTTTAGCCTACTGGTAGAATCCAAAGTTGGAGTATGAAAACCACAAGGCAATATATTTTCTTTCCAGCATTAGGAATAATGGTACATAGAGGGAACGGTATAAAAGTACCATCTTTCTTCTTGTGCAGTATGTTGCTGTTTGCATTCTTATGAATAAAGTTAACCGGTTTAAAATTATAGCATTATCAAGAAATATATTCAACAAAATGTAAGATGGTCATTTCTCTACCTGGAATGGGCTTGGAGTAGATAAAGGAATGTATGGTATCTCTGAAAGCAAAGCTACTTGTTGCAAGATTTGCTGGAAGTGATTGTGTTGTTCCACTTCACTATTAAAAAGGGTAAATTACAGATTACCACCCTGTACTTTGGGGGGGGGGGGGCTCTTTCCCATTAACAGAGTTGACGGAGAAGATAAAATTACTAATCTGTCCATTTAAGGTTGTTGAGTTGGGCTTTGTTGTTTTTATTCTTATTTTAAGTTATTTAGTTAGGAAGTTGTTGGGCTTTAGGCCCATTAGTTTATGTTTTTAAGTTGTGACTGTTCAGCTACTTTAGTAGCCGCCCTACTAAGGGCATTCTTGTAATATCTCATCCTTTAAGTTAAGTATAAATTATAATGAGGAGTTGGCGGCTAGGGTTAATCTAAGAATCCTGGTTGACTTCCTACTCCTTTCTTCTCCTGCTGAAATCTTCATCTTCTTCTTCTTTTCCTTCACAAGGAATTCAACTAAATCTGCATTCAGTGATTTCTACTAAGGTTATCATATTCTCAAACTGTATTCCAAGATAACCAGATAAGAGATTAAAATGGCAGAAAAATGGGGGCAAGGAAAATGCAGAAAACACAGAAAGAAAGGTGGGTGCTTTAAATAGATGGAAGAAACAGCAGAGTGCAATAATCCAGCAACCAGGAGAGAGAGATTGTAATTAATTAGTTCACAGCTGTTTGATTTTATAATGAGAAAAATCAGAGACATAGGGTGGGTGGTAGTCTGGTTGGTACTTGGTAGGTAGATCTTAAGGTGGGTTTTGACCTTTGAATTGAAAGTTTTTTTTTCTGATAGATAACAAGAAGATTTTATTAAAAAAGAAAAGCTGAATACAAACTTGAGGTAGGTGATAAGATAACACCCCTTGGCCCACCAACTACTTCATCTAACTGCCTACAACAAAGAAGAAACCAAGAAAGAGAAACATGAGAAAGCACAAAGACAGCAAGCACTACACTAGCCAATCAGATCCTAAGTGCAGATCAATCTTACGCCTCATCAAACTTTTTTGGACCCCCTTACTCATCCCAAATTTCTTCCCCCAACTCTTCTGGAACCTTTCTCATGCTTTCCAACTTCCTCTTTTTCTCCATAGTTTCAAAAGCTCTTCTAGCAAACTCCTCCCCTCCTAAAAAGAGCAAACCCAAAGACTTGCTGGTTTCCACCTCTCTATCA